AAGGTCTAGCAGACAAGGGCAATACAACCCTTAACACCGAAGACCACTTTCAGGATCTGAGGAAATGGAAGACGTGGAAAAACCAAAAAAAGAAGGAACCGAATTTGGATCAAACATAGGCAAAAGAGGAATCAGCACGCTCACTACTGGAAAAAGAAGTGGTTGTGGTGGTGGCCCAAACAGAAAAATTAATAAAGTGGACGCAGAGTACACGCCGGAGTTCACTACCATCCAGCACATTGCCAATGGGGAGGCACCACACGTGATGGCCTCGGCCAAATCAGCATGACTGACATCGATGGACACTCGCCCGCTGATTGCAGCCAGGTACGTCGAGAAAGAGGGAGAATGGCAGATCGCCACAGATGTGTCCTTCATAATCCTAAGGATTGAGAAAGGACAGAATGTCGCCAATATTTTTCAAGAAAAGGTAACAGAGGGGTACCCACTGGGTGTGTACAAAACAATTGCCTTGGACGTTGGTCAGGAGGACAGATCCTCACAAGCTGGCCAGGAGGACCAACAGGACCATCATATGGACATGGAGAGACACTCCCCTCGCGCCTTTTCCCCCCTGATTGCAAAGTTGTAAGAGGAAACCAAATTGAAGAGTGAGACGATGTGGAGGCCATGGAGAACAGTGACAATGATTCCATATAGAGTGTTGGCGGGACCAGACATCCCTACGGAACTGCTGGCGGTCTTAGTGACACACCTCTTGACTTTTGAGATTCTAGAGGGAGATAGCGATCTGGACGTAAAGAGCGTTCGTCTTAGATCTAGACAAATTCCAAAAGCGATTGCTCTGAGAGTGATTTGGAGGAGTGGCAAAACGAGGACGATGGAGTAGGATCAGAACTGGCCTTTGTCCTTGGGCAGGGAACCAATGGAAGTGTTGGGGAATATAAGCTAGATGATGTGGTCACCACGGTGCAGTAGAGCCCTTCGGGCGGTGCGTCAATAGAGATGGATGCGAGCGATCAGGCCGCCTCCTAGGTTACCTATCACCATGATTGCATTCCTGCCTCTTCCCCGTAGCCTCAATGATGGAGATCTCTTTAGAAAGGGGTCAAATACAAAGGAAGACCGGGCGGATTGGAAGACACAAGGGATAGTCATTAGGAGTTGGAACATTAATGGTCTCGGGAATATTGTTGACAAAGAAGAAAAAATGAATGACCTAATCAAAAGACTTACCGTTCACACAAATAAATTAGCAGATATCATATTGTTGCAAGAAACTCACCTCACCTTCTCAGCAGAACATAACATAATTTGAAAACTCTTATCAAGGAAACTGGGAGGAATGAAGGAGGAAGTATGGTCCTCAGATAATACATCAAGCACGAAAAGAACCGCCATCCTTATACACCTAAATCATCCCGTCTATACACGGTAGGGTCGATAGTAGGCAAAGAGGCGGATACGATAGACGGTAGATGGTGCCTTATGGATGTAAAATAGAAGGAGGAAGAGTTCAAACTAATCAATGTCTATGCACCAAACGGCTACTCGGACAGATCAACATTCATAGCAAACATTGGCTAATGGATCCCTCCACCGTCGGCCTGCATTTTGGCAGGTGATTGGAATGGAACCATATACCCCGCCACGGATCGTATATCTAGGTCTACAGCTGGTCAGACTACACAGGAGGCAGTGCCCATCCAAAAGTTGATGTTGGACCACGTTCTAGTCTAACCATATCGAACGTTACATCTGGGGACAAGAGCCTTCACATTGGTTAAAAAAAAACATACCCACCACACCGCTTTCTCCTTCATTGATTACTTCCTGATTTCAAGGACAGGAAAGCTGCTCCACAATGTCACAGACGGTGGTTAGAATTTCAAAGAAATTAGCGACAAACAGGAAATAGTGGAAGCAAGCATTAGAGACAACCCTGAAGATTGTGGAGACAAATCTCATTGATAACTCCTCTGCTGCACTTTACACCCAGATTTTTGGAAAGGCAAGAGAAGAATTCGCTATGTGGAGATGGTGGGAACTAAAGGGTCTACAAATAAGAGCTAGAATGAACGAATACGAACTAAGTGAGTTAATGTTTAAACACTTATTTGCAAGAATCAACGCAAACTCAAGAGCCAACACGATAGAAAACCTGAAAACCCTCGCAAATCCAATTGAAACAGTGATAGGCTGACAAAAGAATTCTAAGAAAAATTATGGCCGCTCACAGGGGGTGATTTAAACTTCTACAACGACAACTGGCTCAAGGGGGGACAAGGAAACTTACTGAGTAGCAGTGTGGTCACATTGTTGTACAAAAAAAGGGAGAAAGAAGATATCAGGAACTACAGACCCATCTTGCTTCTAACCCTTCCCTATAAGATCCTAGCCAAAGCTCTGGCCTTTCGAATCCTAGACCTGACAGACAAATGCTTTCATATACACCAAACAAGCTTCATCCCAGGGAGGTATATCTTGGACAACGTACTAACCTTTATCGAAGCGGCCAACAAAGTCAAGAAAATAATAATAAATACAACAATTCTGTTTTTCGACTTTGAAAAGGCCTACGACCAAGTCAATTGGGCCTTTCTCAATGAAAGTATGGAAAAGATGGGAGTGGGCCCAAATTTTAGGAAGTGGGTGCGCATTCTATATAATGATGCCATAGGGTGCGTCCAAGTCAATGGCCAACTCTTAGAGTGTTATCAAATCTCGCGGTCAGTTCGCCAAGGGGACCCGCTAACTTCCCCAATCTTCCTCTTCGTGATGGAAGCAATAGCCTCATTCCTACGTAAAGATCCCTCCATACACAGGCTACCAGAGGTCAATGTAGGAGTAGCCCATCACCTGCAGTTTTGCAGACGATCGCACGGTCCTCATAAGAGTTTCAAACTCGTCTTTCAGTGCGTTAGTAAGAGCAATGGAAGCGTTCAGACTGACTTCAGAAATGAAGATTAATTGGAAGAAAACAATTGGCTGGTGGCTATAGGAGGAGGAGCTTCCCCAGCTTCAAGGCCCCGAGGCAGACATGACTTGGGAGACACCGAAGACCCCTATGCGATATCTAGGCATTTTGCTGACAAAAGACGGCTTTGCACCTCAAATGGCTCAAAATATACTCGTCAAACAAATTAACAGACTAGGCAGATGGGGTAGCACATTCACATCATTACTGGGCCGAGCACTTGCCATCAACACATCTGTTTTTTCGATGATGTGGTATATACCGCCAATCTGGACAGTTCCGAACCACACAATCAAGGAAATTAACCGCAAAGTAAGAGCATACTTGTGGTTGGGAAAACCCAACAAAGAGAACTGTATACCAAAGATAGCCTGGCATTACATCACAAGGAAACCAGCCAGAGGAGGTCTTGGTATCGTAGACCCCAAACAAGAAACCAAAGCCTTACAAGTTAAATGGATTCTCAAATTACTAACTAAACCTGGTACGACATGGAATAAACTGGCCTTGGACGGCATCAGGGGCCTAGCACCGATAGTTTTGCTGTAGTTAGAATTTAAGAGTGCCATATGAGGACAAAGGATCACAAAAATCTCTTTTATTTCTTTCTATTCATCATACTCTATCTATTCATTTTTCTATTGTATAACGAATATATAAGATAATCAATAGTTCAAACTCATGGACTTCATTTTTTGAGTTTTTTATTACCTCAAGGCGTACCTTTGCCACTAGCACCTTTTTTAGTACTTCTTGAACTAATTTCTTATTGTTTTCGCGCACTATCCGGTATCTTGGCGTTACGTTTAGGAAATGAATTATATCAATGAATAAATCTAATAGGCTATTTATTAAATAGATCATAGAATCTGAATCAATAATAAAATCTAAATATCGAGAACCTAAAGAAGAGAAGTCTATTAAGTACATATACTTACGCCTCACCAGCAGACATGTCTGGTCTGTTCTGGGTAATGACCAAGGAATGCAGTCCAAGTACAGGGTGCAGAAATCAGAAGAATAGGTCTAAACGAAGCCAGCCCCCCCACACCATATTGGACTGCATTGCTAAGGATATGGTGGGAAGTCATGCCGAAGAAGGTGGGTAGACCCAAATCCAAAGATAAGATATTGAGACAATCCCTTTTTGGTAATCCGTGGATGAGAGACGAAAATGACCACCAACTATCCCTTAAGCCCAGAGGAAGGAGATGGATATCGTGGATCAAACACGGAGTTTGGAAAGTGAGTCATCTGTGGAACGAAGAGAAAAAGGACTGGGCGACAGAGCAGGAACTGGCCTCCCAGCTCAAAGGATGTCACCGTCGAGAAGAGAACCGACAATCCATTATCAACTGCATCCCAGAAGGCTGGAAGGAGTTGTTGAGCGAAGCCTCAACCTGGAAATCGGGAGAATGGCGAGTGAGGGTGCAGGATCTAACCCCTTCAAGGGCCTATCAATTCTCCCATAAACAGCAAGGGTCGGTTACCCTGGCTGTGTTTACCTCGTTCCCAGTTACCTCCTTCACGGAAGGCCTCCCATCTATCATAAATAAGGACGTGGAAAGAACAGTCCTAAACCCTTTTGTTCTCCGAAAAGTAAGAGTGTTGGAATCTTGGGCAAAAACAATCTTCAGAGTAGATGCGGCGATTCAAGACTTGGAATTTGATCCAGCAGAATGGCCTTGGACACCAGATAGAAACAGAAGGCTCAAAACGAAGGTCCCCATCCAGGAATACACAGTCAAACTGGGATAGAACTTACTCCTCAAAACAAAGGATCCTTACCCAACGATCAAGAACAGATGGCAGAAGTTATTAGGTCAGGGCGCTAGTCAGATCCCACAAATACCGTGGAAAAAATTCAAATCAATCCGTCCGGTCAAAATCAGAAGCCTCCAATGGCTCATACCGTATGTGGCCCTACCGGTTAACCAGTGGGTGCATAACAGAAGAAGTAAGAACAACCCCAACAGTTCAGATTTATGTGCGGTATGTTCAGAAAATAAACCAGAAGATATGCTACATTGCCTGGTACGCTGTAGAGAGGCTACAGAACTCTGGGCGATGGCCTCGGATCTCTGGAATTCCCTCTTCTCGACTCCCCTCCCTGAACACCCCATCCAACTCCTATGGACAAACATCCCAGCTCAATTCCACAAGACAGAGAAAACGTGGTTCAAAATGATCGGAAAGGTAACGCTGTGGTCCATCTGGAAGGAAAGGTGTGGTAGAACCATAGACGGACTCTCAACGCCAAGGGAGAAGGTATGGGCAGAGACAAGAACCTTGATTCAGGCAGAGATTCTGTGCAAGTGGCAAAAGACGAGACACTCCATGCCAGACAACGAAGAGCAACAGAGGAGAATCTCGGCAAAATTCACTAAGGTGTGGCTCGCAGGGGGCAAAGTAGCAGAGATCAATGACCTTCGCATACAGTGGAAAGACTGGCATAACTCAGAAGCAGGGTGGAGAAGACACAGATCCCAGCCAGCAGATGGACAAGATCCATCACAAGGCACGTAATATTGATGGGCAATTTCTGAAAGTGCATCCGCCGCAGCTTCTTTTACCTTTCTTGCTCTTTATTATTTNACACAGGAAGGCAATGAGTTTTTTAGTATGACAGACCATATCAAAAGCCCAAAGGGGAAGAGGGACATGTGCATCCATCAGCAGTGGCTTTGCAGCTGTCTCTTATACACATCTAGATGTGTATAAGAGACAGGAGAGAGAGAGAGAGAGAGAGGAGACCATCTATTTCAATGCTCCTCGAAATAGACGTCTCCTCCTCGATGCAAGCAGAGCATCGAAACAAATGTTGGCTCCTTGGATGTATAGAAGTCTGTTTCCGCAGGTGATACACCATGGTGCAGGTACTCTCTCTCTCTCTCTCTCTCTCTCTCTCTCTCTCTCTCTCTCTCTCTCTCTCTCTCTCTCTCTCTCTCTCCCTCTCTCCCCCCCCCCCCCCTCTCTCCTCTCTCGAAAAAAAAAAAAAAAAAAAAAAAAGGAAAACCAGGGACCACTACTGGAGGGGGTGATAAGAGCTTCCTCTAGTAACTGTCCCTGGCTGCTCCAGCTATTGGTGGGGAGCTGCACCTGCTGGAAACTGGGTCCAGCGTCCCTGTATATAACAAGACCATCCACAAGAACGTTCGAGAGCAGTCCGCCAGCATTGATTACCCCAGGATACCCAGGGGGATTGACTGAGCGGTTAGGAAGGTTCCTTCCTTATGTGGAACTGGGAGTGATTGTGCTTCGCTCTTATGTGGCGATTTTTTGATTTTTTTCCCTCAATTTTTTTTGTTTTTTGTGGCACTGTGTCTGCCCTATTGGGTCCTGAGGTTTTATGTTTTGTCCAGTACTGGAGCATGGCAACAGAGAGGGCGGCCAGCTCTCTATGAACCTGCGGATGGTGAAAGTGAGAGAGAGGGAAAGAGAACGGAAACCTAATAAGGATGATCACGTTTGTTATTTCCATCTCGCCTCCATGCATCATCCTGACGACACGTCCCAGTGGCATACCTGACAGTTCTATAAGGAGCTTCAGTAAAAACTTGAAACACACACAGCCAGAAGTTAACAAAGTCCAGAAACCAGGTTATAACATCGAGCCATTCCATTTTTGCAATTGTACCGAGACATGATCAGTAACAGTCAAACGACCAAGTGAAGAAGAAGAACAGTACCATAACTTCCGTAAGTTGGTGTGGACAAGGTAGATTGTACAGTACCATAGCTTCCATAAGTTGGTGTGGACAAGATAGATTGAGGGTTACAGGTTAAACCACCGGTACTTGGCCCAGCTATCGGCCGCAGGGAAAAAATAGAGTAGGAACGTTTCTAGTCGGATGAATTTGGACACTCCTTTCCTAAAATTGTGGCTTGATAACGGGCACAACGTGACGAAGTACTGGTGGCTTAAGAGTGCAGGAGGGAGAAAGAGGAAAGGAAGGGAGGGAGGCAGAGGTAGGGGAGATTCTCCGAGAGATTGGGGGTGAAGCAGAAACAAGTGAAGTATGGGACACAGGACAGAGTCTCAATTGAAGCGGAAGGAGTTTGTTCGAGAGATTGGTTCAGAAGGAATTCACGAGAAAGAGGAAAAAAACAAAAAGCGCGATGTTGTTCAAAGATACATCATGGAGCAGAGCCCCAGATTATCATATCATTGACGCCAGCTGCAGCAGGAGAAGCCTCAATTGCCCGATGAATAACACCGATTCGCCATACCCTACATGTGTCGACCAGCCCCGATGACTGCTCATCGTCAGGGGCTGTGCAAGGGTTCAACAGGACAAGCGTTACACTCCAAGTCCCTGGTCAGTCAAATACAGGTAGCGAGGTATGCAAGGAGAAGCGGAACACTCGTCTTGTAGTTTCTTCCTATAGGTCGCTCCTAACATAACACCCAGCGTCATGGGCACTGGAAGTGAGTGAGAACGGAGATGCTGGGACCCTCACCAGAGCAAGCGGGGGCAGCGCTTTCAAGAGGGCGAAACCGGGGCCAGAGGAGGTACATACAGTGTTGCATGCCATCCAGTGGAAGATCACATATTGGTGGCTGCCACCATACATTTCACGGGACTGAAATGCTGCTTACAGGCACTTCAGAGCTCGAATCAGCAGGGCCCTGTCAGAATGAAAAACACTTCAAGCCCCAGCTATACTGAATCCAACCGCAAAGAGCTGGCCTCCAGCTTTTTTTGGAACCCCCTCCCCCTGGTGGGGCCACCCAGACGCAGACGTACACAGCCTAATGGGCCCCCGGCAGGCCAACCATATGCAGACATACACAGCCTATACTGAGCGCGCTCCCAGCAGCAAACACAAAAGACTGCCAGATCTATTTATGTAAATCCAGACCCAACTTGAAACCCTGTTCAACCACTAGCCTGCCCACTGCCATTTGGGCCCAGACCCAAATTTGACCGTCACGAAACTCCCATTTGGGCCCGTTAGTCAGGGGCTGAAAATGGGGGTTCCCAAGCATGGTTAACCAGTCGTTATCCGAGGCTAATCCCCTTACTCTAACACCCAAGAGGGTCAGAAAACAGCTTGTCCCATCAGGTGCAGCAGTCGACCTGGTGCTGCCCACATCCCCCAAATTTAGCAGGAAAACATCGCAATTCACTGTCAAAATAATTGAAAATATCTATCTGGGTATCCTCTGATTCTGAGCTCATTTTTCATAGTAACCAGAAACAATGTTCTTCTGCTACAGGCCTCCCAGCCATAATGGGGAGGAGCGTGCATTAGTATTCTTGATGTAACCTCTTTCGGCTTGCCGGTGGAATAGGAACCGAGCTGATAGCTCCCCAGAATGGAAAGGAGCCAGAACTGTAAGGTTCTGTTTCGGTATTAAAAAAAAAAAAAAAAAAACACCATTTTTGCACGGTGCAAGAATGAAGTTATCACTGCCGATTTCTGCTGCTTACCAGAAAACGATACCAAATTCTGACTCGCTTGGAAAGAAAGCTTCTTTGGTAGATGCTACCAAAGAAGTGTGATTACGCCGTCAGAAATTCTCTCATCGTCATTTTACCTCACACTACCTAATGTACACCAGGCCAAACAGGGAATCCTAAGGGTTATGGGTCTAACGCGCAGCACCTACTTTCCAGGACGAGCTTTACTCTATGTGGGGAGTAGTACCCTAGTTCCCAACACCTGACACCGGCTGGAAAGTGCCTATCATTTACTCCTGTGCTTTTTTTTTTTTTTTTTTTTTGGGGATTGTGGTTGAGTTTTATGCACTGTGCTTGGGTTGTCTGTTGCAGGGGAAGCGCCAGCAACTGCTGAATGAGATCCGCACTCTTTGTGAAGCGCCAAGGGCGACAGGGCTGGTTGAGTTCTTTGGCGCGTTCTACACACCAGACAGCGGCCAGATCAGCATTGCGCTTGAGTACATGGATGGTGGGTCCTTAGCAGACATCATTCGGAACAAACGGTGCATTCCGGAGCCCATCCTTTCATGCATCACATACAAAGTTCTGCAGGTATTAATCCGTTACTCCTCACGTGATTACATACAAAGTTCTGCAGGTATTAATCCGTTACTCCTCACGTGAACCATGGTGATGCTTTTTCTTCTTGTTCGGGGGGAGGAGGGAGATGGCACATTTCTTTCGCTGTGGGAATGTGTAGGCATGGTGTTGCTTTTTTCTTCTTGTTTGGGGGGAGGAGGGAGAAGGAACATTTCTTTCACTGTGGGAATGTGTAGGCATGCACGGATGATGGGCTTCGATGGTTTGCGAAAGGTGAAAAAAAAACATCTTGCCACTGTGAATGCTGATCTATGTTGACATATATGTACGTAGTAATGTGTAGATACATATGTAGATACATATTACCTATAGACGTTTTCAAGTTTTCAATTTTTGGTAATGTCCCAAATGAAGAAGGCGACTGTTGAGCCGATCGTATTCCCTCGGGACATTCACTAAAATTGGAACGATACAGAGAAGAAGATTAGCATGGCCCCAGGGCCTGCTCAAGCATGTATTACCCACATGAGGCTGCTCCTGTGTACAAACAGAAAGAGATTCATGCTGGATCTGGCCAAATTAGCTGTGAATCGGGTGTTTTATATCCACACTCGCGGGAAGCGGATTGTGAGCTTTGGCCAAATTACCTGTGTGTTGTGTGCCAACTCAGCGGGCACCTGTATGTTGCACATCTTATAGCGAAGTGGAAGAGATACATCACACCTCTTAAGGTGGTGTACAATTCTTGCAGGGCCAATTGCACTCGTGGGAATTAGATTGAGTGCAAACTCAGTAGGCCCCTGTACGTGACATATGCTACTGATGTGCCACACATCTTAATGTGAACTGCAATTCCCCCAGGTCAATCACATTCCTGCGAATCACAATTAGTGCAAACTCAGCAGGCCCCTGTTTGTGGCAATTATCACTGATGTGCTGCACATCCTGATGTGGAGTACGATTCTTAACGGCCAATCACATTCGTGCGACAAGATTCATGCCAGCTTTAGCAATATTAGCAATATTAGCTGATTATAGGATGTTGAATACCCACGCTTGTGAAAATCAGATTGTGGTGTCTAGAACCCCAACGGTAAGGCTTCCTCATCGGTCTATCCCTTCTTTCATGTACTCGTATGCTTGCCGGTGATGAGCAACCGGACTGTTGCCCCCCAGAATAGATGGGGCCTTTGTTTTTTGTGAAAAAAAGGAAAAGAAAAGAAAAGAAAAAAAAAGAGAAAAAAAGAAAAAAAGAGAAAAAAAATAGAATTTTTTTAAAAATAAAAATAAAAATTTTAAAAATAGAAAAAAAAAGAAAAAAAAAGAAAAAGACAAACAATCAGGCACCTGTGTGTGTTGCGAAGCACATTTTAATGCGAAGTGCAATTCTTTCAGGGCCAATCACACGTGCGAATCAGATTGAGTGCGAACTCGGCAGGGCCCTGTATGTGGCAAATACTACCAATGCCGGGTACATCTTAAAGTGAAGTGCAATTCTTCCAGGGGCAATGACAGCCGTTGGAATCAGATTCAGCGGAAAATCAGCAGGTCCCTGTATGTGGCAACCACTACGATGTGCCGCACAGGATAATGTGAACTATGATTCTCAAGGGCCAATCACATGTGCAAATCAGAATGAGTTTGAGCCCAGCAGGTGCCTGTTTGTGGCACATAGTAATACTGAGTGGCCTCCACAAAAAAAACATAACACATTGTGCCAACTCAGCAGGGCATGTATTTTGGCACATACTACCCCTTTGGGCATTTAACTTTGATATTAGTATCATATTACTAGCCGCAATTTCGGCGTGTTTTTTTTTTCTTTTTAACCTGCTTGAAAAAGGTGAGACAATCAAACAGTGACTCTCAAGTAGGTGTGCTGCTTCTTGCATCCCTCCCTTTGTTTTTTCCCTAAGTTTTAACAGTTCTAACTTCTGAACTATTATGTGCATATTTTATGTTTTTTATTCAATATTTTATTATTTTATTCAACTATTATCATGATGGTGCAGATGGTTACCAGCTAGCTGGTTTGTTTTGTGTTCCTGTTTCAGGGACTGACATTTCTTCACAAGGTGCGACACCTTGTGCATCGGGATATAAAGCCCGCCAACTTGCTTATAAACTTGGAAGGAGAGCCAAAGATCACCGACTTCGGCATCAGCGCGGGCTTGGACAACTCTATTGCCATGGTTTGTTCATCATACACACCGATTGTTACACTGAATCCTCTCATCTCCCTTTTCTTTTGCATTAGAATTCGCTCATTTGATTCGCTGAATCTCCCATCTCCCTTCGCTTCGCAAAAATTGCTCATTGGATTCATAGCATCCTCGCAGAATCCTCTGTCCCCCTTTGCTTTCGCTTTAAAATTTGGTCCTTGGACTCCATTGATACACCCGATTGAGGGACTATTTCACTTCAAGCCAAGCAAATCACTGCATCGACTTCAGGAAGGCAGCCTCCAGACTCGTGTTCAGGCAGTAAGAATAGTCAGCAGGAATGAAATGATCCTGAGGCATGTGAGCTGCCCGGTTGGTAATTGTGAGGGTAGGGGTACTAGGGGGTGGGGGGTTGTGGTGAGAAGGAAGATTGCAGGGTGGGGTGGGGGGAGGGGTTGGAGCGGCTATTGTATTCTCTCTGAAGTCCCTGCGTTATACAATTCAGCATCCACAACGTTAAAACCACCAGTACGTCCTAAAGTCGTGCCCGTTATCAAGCCACGATTTTAGGAGACGTACGGGCCACTACAGGAACGCTCAAATTCATCCGACTGGAAACGTTTCTACTCTATTTTTTTTCCCGTGGCCGATAGCTGGCAGCTAAGTACTGGTGCTTTAAGGGTGTATTGTCTTCTCTGCATGTCTTCTCTGGTTGGGCGCAGAAAAAGGGAGGTACGGAAGGAATAGGTGTTATTTTATCTGTGTGTCATTCGCTTATCGCCTAGAAGCCAGTAGAAGGTTGTTTCTGTAAGTCAAAGACCAAAAGGCTTAGTGACTGAGTTGGGGGAGAAGAGAGATAGGAGAGGGGAGGATGTTGTTTTATAATAATTTTTATGTGTGTCATTCGCCACAGGCATGTTTCCGCATGGCAAACAGGAAAGGACACGAAGCCAGCACCGAAAGGTCCGGTTCACTTGCAAAAAATAAAATAAATAAAGATTGTTCAATGAGTCTGTAGTACTCTGTACTACTCTGTAGACTCAGTGTAGAGTAATTAAAAAAAGCCTAATAGGGGTTGACCATTGTGACACTTGATGCAGTGTTTCTCTCTCTCCCTCTGCAGGGTGATAGTTTTTTTTTTTTTTTTTTTTTTTTTTTTTCTCCCAAAAACAGCACCTTATGGTCACAGGGTGATGGTCTCTAGTTTGAAGAGAAGACTTAGAGAAACGAGTACTGTTGATAGTGTCTGAAAGGCCAATACTAGTGTTTCTTTACTTGAATCTGATGATGGATTATCGAGGGGTGCGGATGGGGATGGGTCCGCCATTCGGGCCTCAGGATGATACGGATTGGACGGTGGTAATATGTGGGGTACAGTGAGACACAGTTTTTCTGTTGTTTAGTACGGGCCGGTATAGACTCGTTGTTTTTGGGTCTGTTTCTTTTTTCGGTGCCTATTGAATCTGGCTGTGTATGTGGGCTAGGTAAGGATTATTTTCCTGTGTCTGAATTGGGAGATTTTTCTCGCGAAACGTGGGTTTGGCGTCAGGACTTTCTAGAAGGACAGTTGAGGTTTCTATGGATTGTCGAAGGATTACTTAAGGTCGTGGTGACACGGTACTAATCCTCCTCATTTCGCGACGTTTCTGACCGCTGATGATGACCGGCTGGCGACCGGTCGAAAGACTCGAAACGCGGCGTAGGGTCACGCTGCTGGCTTACTCTAGATATGTACGGGCTCACAGGAAACTGACGACGGTCAGCATACTGTCGGCCATTATTGCACGAGGCCAGCCGACAATGGGTGTTTATCATGGTTATATCTTGACCCATTAAAAAAAAAAAGAAAAAAAAAAGGTCGTGTTCGGGAGAAGTCTCGTGTCATTGTCTATCTTCGTATCTCTCACTCTGGCTCATGTCGATTGTTGGCATTTACTCCTGAGTCTTGTTGCTCTCATGGTTGGTGTGCTTGCTTTGTTTCTGTCCTCGATTTTGTGAGTGATTGGTGTTTACATCAATTTACCAATGCTAGACCTGTCAACACTGTCATGTATGCCACACTGGCACACTGCACGCCATGTACTTGAGAGTGTGTGGGGTTTCTCTTCTGCGCTAAGGTGGTCTCCAATATAGGGGGTAGACAAGTGTGCTTGCAGGGGGAATGACCCTACCCCAAAGCATTTGGAAAGAAATTGTTCTAGCCCTTCATTGCTGGAAGAAACACTTCGGGCCTTGTCGCCAGTTACAACGTGTCTTTTTTTTTTTTTTCGGAAAGAAGTGCAGGTGCGTCACCTTTCGAGTTTCGAAAGGGCTAAAAAACACGCACGGACAACGAAATCAGGCACTGAGTTTGAAAAGGCAATTTCAGTAAAAATAACAGTACTTTGCTTTTGCCGTTTTTTTAACCCAGGCTGTCTGCACACCACGGCCCAACACTGTAGACATGACATCAGCGTTTTTCGTGCACTGCTGTTTTTTCATTTTGCCTTTTTTAGCTTGGCCCATGATTTTGTTGCCAGCTCATGTTTTTCTGTCCTTTCGAAACCCGTTTGTGACATAACCAAACTTGTCCCCTTTTTTTCCCTCGAAAAGCCTCTGTAATTTCGTTAACAGGGATGGAAAACGGAGGCCAGAGGCCAAGTCCCACTTTCGCTGATTCTTCATTTCTGGTTGTTGATGTTTGAAATCTACGGTCAGAAATTGAGAATTCGGGTAAGTGGGACTTGGGCCCAGGGACCTCATAATTCTACTCGCACTAGGGTACCCACCTTCAGCTAATGCTGGAAACCGGGTCCGGTGTCCCATCCATTCACCCAAGCTTTCCAATGTTCCAATGTGTTTTTCTTCATCGAGTATCATCCGAGTGCCGCACATGAATGCGCTACGGTTTCTCCATCACCGCCCTCAGCCCTTGCCTGGGCTACCAGCCGGGCCACCCGGGTCACCTTGTTTGACCAGTTGGTTTTTTTTTTTTTTTTTTTTTTTTTTTTTTTACACGGTACACTGAAAGTGCAATTCCCTCCATTCAATCCTTTTTTTTTTTTTTTTTTTTTTTTTTTTTTTTTTTTTTTTTTTTAACCTTGTTTGACCCGGCCATTCGAGGATCAGTGAAGGGCGTCACCAAAACAAAGCTTTTGCCTCAGGGGCCTCCTCCCACTAGCAAAGTATTCTACGATGTGTGACAACATTTTTGCATTTTTTAATGGTTTTTAACTTCTAAGTGGTTTTAAAATGAAGCGAACAAAATGCACGAACATGATTTTTGCCAATCACTCTTCTCGAAAGCAGTGGAGCGAGGGCCTACCGATAGGATGAGTTGAAAAATATGAATGAACTGTGCCGAGGACGAGTCCAAATGCATGTGCAGTATTCTCACGTTGCCAGGCCCTAAGTCGCAACTGCAATAAAACTGCCATGTCTGATGGAACGAAAGTAACTGCCCACAATTTTTATTTTTTTTGGGTAGTACTGCAATGCGTGAACAGCAGCGCACGAAGTCTCGAAAACACGCCCCCCCTAAAAAAAAAGCCTGGAAATCCAGACCAACCGGCAATGTTCAATATCAATAAAAGATTCCAGTACCGGCCACTTCATTGGTGGGTGCTTTCTCATGGGCCCCACTGTATACTGCATCAGGCGGGCCTGTAGGTGCAAAGTGAGATGTGTGGTTTGCGTCTGTCACCCCCAGCCGCACGTGATCGAAAACGTCAACGACGAAGTAGAATACCTCGCTAGTGGGATGAGGTCCCTGGGTCACATCGAAATTCTTAACGAAATTTGATTTTTATTTTTTCATTTTTTTCCGCCTGGGCGGGCAACTTGCCCTGGGCCATGCTGGTAGCGTAGGTCCATGCGTGATTTTTTTGATCTTGAGGTCTTGATGCATGCATCCGAGCATACCTGTGCTCAGAGTTTCTCTGTCTCTGTCCTCTTTGCCAATTTTCCGATCTCTGCTTGAGATGTTGATGCATGTCGCGATGACTACCGTCTTCCCCCGAATAGAACATAGGTAATTATCGCTGTATCTATTCCGAAAATTGCTGCAAGTACAGCTATGGCGTCTGGCATGCTGTTCGGGGGAAGATGGTAGCTTTCTTGTCACGCTCGGTGAGTCATCGCCTTGCTTATTAAACCACTAGTACATGGCCCAAGCCAAGTTGAAAATCCGATTGAGCCTCTCCGGAAATTTGAGAGGTCTGGGACAGGACGTCCCAAGGGTCAGTAGAAAGAAAATAACTGTCCCATGCCATGCCGTGGCACTATGTCCAGCCCGGAACCAAAAAAAAAATCACGCCTGCCCCCAGTTGGGCCCTGTCCCGAGTCCCCTACCGTTGCAGAGAGGTGGTTTAAAGTTTGCCTCTTCCAGCAGCGCTTGAGAGTATGCGTTGGAAAGCACCTCCTGTTGCCGCCGCCACCAGCAACTTTACAGTTCGATAGAGGATCATTTATACTCTGCTTGAGACTTGAGTTGGCCATAACCTTTTTTTTCTTTTTTCTTTTCTTTTTTCAGTTGACCATAACCCTTGGCGACCGTAAAGGGCTCTTGGGGGAAGAATATTCCAGCTGTCATTGCGCTTGACGACCGTCAAGAGGTGACGCAACTTGACGGGAAAGGATCCGTTTGAGTAAGTTAAACGGAGTTTGCTCCATTATTCAGAGGTGGTGGATGCTGAGTGCACTTGTTGAGCTTTCATATGTGTACTAGAGATGGTTATGTAGAATTGGTATCGTACTATTGTTGTCATTATAATGCTGCAGTGCAGCTAGTACATGTGCGACCGGAGAGTGACGGTTGACGTTGGTTGGCAGATAGAACTTAAAAAAAGTGATATTCTGATTACTATGTGCATGGTGGGTTGATGTACATATGGCAGTGTGCAACCTTTGTTGGGACTGTCACGTACATGTCGCCAGAGAGGATCAACAACGAGCGCTACTCCTTCCCTGCGGATGTTTGGAGTTTGGGTCTGTCAATCTTGGAATGTGCGACTGGCGAGTTCCCCTACAATGCAGCGAAGGGGCCTGTCAGCCTGATGCTACAGGTACTGTAAGAGTACAGTATTCCTGCTTGGTCTTGCATCCCGATCTTCCACGTTTCAGCATGCCTGCTTGGTCTTGCATCCCTATCTTCCACTTGCAATGGTGGCAGAAACACAGTTTTATGCTACTCGATAACAATGTACTTTTTTTCAGTTCCCTTTTCTTTTATTTCGATCGGCCGTGATCTGAATATGTGCCCGAGTGCATAGAGACATCTGTGGAATTCTGAATCGTGGGTAAAAGACCATGGCAATTAAGGATGGAGCATTCTCTGTGTCTTGTCAACTTGTCATGTTTGCTATACACAACTCCCCAAAAAAAGCATGGCTGTGCCAGATTGTTTCATCAGATTTTCACGAACTCGTCAGGAATTGTGTGTGTGAGTGTGTGTGTGTGTGTGTGTG